CCCTGCATTTCCCATGGCTAATCAACTTAACCCTGCATATCCCTGGACACTATGGTAAATTTAGAATCACTAATCCACCTAACCTGCACATCTTTGGAATGTGGGATGAAACCTGAGCACGCAGAGAAAACCCATGCAGATGCTCGGAGAATGTGCAAACTCCACACAGATGGTCACCTGATGTTGGAATCGAACCTGGGCCCCTGCAGCTGTGAGGCAGCAGTGCTAACCACTGAGCTACCATGCCCCCCTGGCATCCTAATGGAGGTACCAGAAATGGCGGCTTACATTTCTTTGGATATGGAGGCTGGTGGGATGGTAAATGAGGACCAGGGGGACACTATCATTGTTGTATGAGAGAAGGGAAGAGCTGAGGGCTGGTGTGTGAAATGGGTCAAACACGGCTAAGGGCCCCGATTTAGGGCTCTGATTCCACCACAGTGGAATCCCCAGTGGAAGAAAAAGATGGACATTTTCAAGGCGCCCCTGCAGAAGATGGTATCATCAGAACAGATGTGATGGAGATGGAAGAACTGGGAGGATGGGGTGGAGTCCTTACAGGAAGCAGAGAGTGAGGATGTATAGTCGAGTATAACTCTGGACATTGGTGAGTCTGTAGTGTATATTGGTGGCCACCTTATCCCCAGAAATGGAAAAATGTCAAGAAAGGAAAGGGAGAAGTCAGAGGTGGACCAGGTGGAGCTAAGGGCAGCGTGGAAATTGAAAACAAACTGCTAATTTTTCTGATTCCAAGCAAGAGGCAGAAGCAGCATCAATCATGTCATCAATGTACCAGAGAAAGAGTTATGGGGAGTGACCCAAGTAAGATTGGAACAAGGATTGTCCCACGTACCATACAAACAGAAGACATAACTGAGGCCCACACAGGTACCCATGGCCACACCTTTGACCTGAAGAAAGTGAGAAGAGTTAAAGGAGAAGTTGTTCTAAATGAGGATGAGCTCATTCAGGTGGAGGAGGGGGGTGGTGGATGGGGACGGTTCAGGCCTTTTTTCCAGGAAGCAGCAGAGAGCCCAGAGACCATCTTGGTGGGGGATGGACATGTAAAGGGCTTGCACATCCCTGGTGAAGAGGAGGCGGCTGGAGTCTGCAAACTGGAAATTCTGAAACTGACGTAAAATGTTAGAAGAATCGCTGATGTCAGTGGGAAGAGACTGGACAAGGTAGGAAGAAATAAGTTCTGTGGGGCAGGAACAATGAGTCTGTCCAGGCAGTCCTGTTTGTGGATAATGGGGAGAAGGTAGAAGTGGGCTGTACAGGAATGGCTATGAACTGGGAGGATTTTATTGGGAGATTGCCGGAGATGAGATTGATGACATTCATGGACACAATGGCCATGATGCTCGATGGTCCAGGGAAGATAGGAGGAGGTGTCTGAGAGCCGGTGCTCACCTTCTGTAATGGAGAGGTCAGTTAGCCAGACAACAACAGCACCACCCTTGTCAGCAGGCATGATGACAAAGTTAGGAATGGATCTGAGAGCACGGACAGCTGGACAAAGCATTTCCCACGTGAGCCTGTCTACACTTTATGCCCAAGGTGAGACAACATATTTTGCAGGCGAAATAACTTTAAACATTTTTGCCATAGAAGTGCCTCTTTAGGAGAGAAGGGTATAAGCTGGTGGGGCAAACAAAATAACATCCATCTCATCTCTGTACAATGTATGTAGTTTAATAGTGCATATCAGAAAATTTGAGTGCTGTCATTTCATGGCAACAAGTAGTGCATGACACTTAGTGAAATGGATGTAAGGTTAAAAAAAAGACGGCAACATTTTTATAGCATGTTGCAGTTATCTTCAGAACATAGAATCACAGAACCATAGAATCGCTATAGTACAGAAGCAGGCCATTTGGCCAGTTGAGTCCACACCAACCCTCTGAAAAGCATCCCACCCAGACCCTTACCCTATCCCTGTAACCCTGCAATTCCCATGGCTATTCCACCTAGCCTGCACATTCCTGCACACTATGGGCAATTTACCCTGGCCAGTCCACCTAAGTTGCACATCTTTGGACATCTGGGAGAATAAAGCAGAGTCAACATTTTGAGTCCAGCAACTCAGTTCTGAAGAAGGATCTTTAAGGGGATGATGTAGTGGTAATTTCACTGGGTGAGTAATCCAGAGGCCCAGGCTAATGATTAGGGGAGATGGAGACCAGGACAGCTGGTGGAATTTAAATTCAATTAATAAAATTTAGAATTGAAAGCTGGTCTCAGGAATGGTGACCATGAAAATATCATAGATTTTTGTAAAACGTTCTGAAGAAGGGTCTAGGCCCGAAACGTCAGCCTTCCTGCTCCTCTGATGCTGCTTGGCCTGCTGTGTTCATCCAGCTCTACACCTTGTTATCTCTTACCTGGAACACTGATGTCCTTAAGGGAAGGAAATCTGCTACGCTTACTTGGCTTGGCCTGGATGTGACCCTGGACTCCACAGTGATGTTGTTGTTGCTGAACTGCACTCTTAAACAGTTACCCAGTTGGGGATGCAATTAAGGATGGACAACCTTTGCCAGCAACACTCACATACCACAAAAGAATGAAGAAAAAAGCATAACATTCAGTGAATTACCTTTTGAAATATTGTTGCTGCGTCAATTTTAAGGTGAGGGCAATTTAACCAGTAGAATCCTGTATACAGAAAATGTGCTGGATGATAAGTCAATCAGTTGGTCTTGAAGAATAAACAGGCAGTTGGCACTTCAGTTCAACATTACATCTGAAGGATGGAATCTACAACAATGCAGCACTCCCTCAACACTACACAGAAAAGCATTAGCACGGACTATATGTCAGGTGTGGGAGTGGGGCTAGAATCTGTGACCTCCTGATGTAAAGGTGTGATGATTTTGAGAGAAATTATGGTAGGGGAAAGATGTGATGGATTATCTTTGTGCCTAAACATTAATCTGCTGTGAGTCATTAAGCTTAGAGAGAGGCTTATTATGGTGCGTTAACAACCGCATCAGTGACTTTAATCAATGGTTAACCATTTTAAAATTATAAATTTAGTTTTCATTGCATGAAACATTTGACTTAAATGGGCAAATTATACAAGAACATTAAAAAAAATGGAAATCCTAAAATGTCCTTTCGCCCATATTACAGTAACACAATCTGACATTTCCTTCTGTTCTACAGTTTTAAATAAATGCCATGGGATACAAAAGGCGAATTTATATAAGCATACATTAAAGAAAGTTAGAACTCAACGATTTACATCAAAAAAACAGGAATTGCTTGAAAAGCTCAGCAGGTCTGGCAGCATCTGCAGAGAGAAATCAGAGTTAATGTTTCAGGTCCAGTCAGCTTGCTTCAAAACTAGACCCGAAACATTAAGATTGAATCAGAGGTAGTAGGAACTGCAGATGCTGGAGAATCCGAGACAACAAGGTGCAGAGCTGGATGAACACAGCAGGCCA